TATTTATTTATTTTTCCCCCAAAGCCCCAGTACATAGTTGTCTGTCATAGCTGCACATCCTTCTAGTTGCTGTATGTGGGATGCGGCCTCAGCATGGCTGGAGGAGTGGTGCCTCGGTGCGCACCCGGGATCCGAACCCGGGTCGCCGGCAGCGGAGAGCACGCACTTAACCGCTAAGCCACGGGGCCGGCCCCACAACGTGATTTCGTACCAGTCTGTCCACCTCTCAGGGCCTAGTTTCTTTCTTTTTTTTTTTTTTTGTGAGGAAGATCAGCCCTGAGCTAACATCCATGCCAATCCTTCCTGTTTTTTGCTGAGGAAGACTGGCCTGGGCTAACATCCGTGCCCATCTTCCTCCACTTCATATGGGACCCCGCCACAGCATGGCCTGACAAGCAGTGCATCCGTGCACCCCGGGGATCCGAACCCTGGCCACCAGCATCAGAGTGCTCGCACTTAACCGCTACGCCACTGGGCGGGCCCCAGGGCCTAATTTCTCCTGGGTCAAATAAGACCAAGAGAGGGTCCCTGAGGTTGGGGGCTGATGACCCTCTGTCCCCTCCCGTCTCTGCTAACACATTGGAGAAGTAGGTGGGCACCATCTGCCCCTGGCTTGCACCTGGACCGGGTGGGGCAGCGGAGGGTGGGGTGGGTTGAGAGGGGTGGGGGGACAGGGATCACAGACGGACAAGAGACGATGATTGCGCCTACAGCTCTGCAGGGTGCTGGACCCTGGCCTCACCCCAACCCTGGGGCCTGGACAGGATCTCTCCCAGGTGGGCTTGGTGAGGATGGGCAGAAGGCATTCCAGGCAGGGCCCTGCGTGAGCAAGAGCCCAGAGGGACGGAACACGTGTGTCTGGGGGTCTCTAAATAGGCCTGGCCCTAGGATGAGTATTCCTATCCCAAACCTCACAGATCCCAGGACACATGCACGAATACAGAAGGCAACCTGGCTCTCTGCGGAAAGAACCCACACTCCCCAAGAAGTTGGAAAGGGGCGTTGGCCCTGGGACGGAGCCACCACTGGAGGTGGGTAGAGGAGGGTCTGGGGCCCAGGAGGAGCCAGCAGGCATGGTGGCAGGCGCTGAAGGGCAGTCGTCCGGGAGGATGGGAAGAGCAGAGAGTGGGATCAGAGGGAGGGGTGGGGGGAGTTGAGAGCTGTATCCACAGAGGCAGACCCCTCCAGTCTCCTCTGGCACCCTGGGCTTAGGAGAAATACTCCACCGATTTATCAGAAGCCTGTGGTTTCTCCCCCTCCGGGAAGCTCCAGCCCGCGGTTTCCTGGGGCTTGTTGGGTAACCGTCCGGGAAGTTCTTAAATCCCTTCTCACTTATCACTTCCCTGGCACCCTCCCTCCTCCACCAGCCTCCTCTTGCTCAGAGCAGGAAGTGCACGCAGGGCACGCCACTGGTCACTCCTCTTCCTCCAGGGCGCCTACCGCTGGCAGGTAGCTAAGGGCTTTATTGGAGCCAAATCCAAGCGGAGGAAGAGCCAAAATGAGGGCAGGTGTCGGAGGAGAGAAGGGAACACCCAGCCAGCCCTCTGCGTGAGGCAGGACTGGCCACGTCAGTCAGTTCATCACTGAATCCGTGACAGCTAAACCTGGCTCCCAGTTAATACCTGTTGAATAAATTAACTCTCTACGTAAAAGCAGAGAAACTGAAAGACAAACAGGGAAGTGCCCTGCCCCACGTCCACGCCCACGGTCACGGTCGGCGACAGCAGAGCCAGGACCGCACACTGACTCCGGCCCTCCCGGGGACACAGGATCGGGGAAGCCCCCCGCGCCGAGGCCTGGCCTCGGTGACGGTGCCCCACGCCGGTGGGCTGGCGCACGCGGCGTGTCAGGCCCACTCCTCCACCCGGGTGGAGTCCGCCCCCCAGCAGCTCACTGAACCGCGTGGGGGGGGGGCGGCGCGTGACTCGGCGCCTGGGGTCCGGCCGGCGCCTTTCAGTGCCCTCCAGGCCAGCCCTCTAGGGGGTCGTCAGGTAGCCCCAACTCTGCCTAGACTGCTGCGGGGGAGGGGGTGGAGCCAGCCCAAACTCCTCCGGCCCAGGGAGGGGCTGCTGCTCCGGGTGGGCGCGGGCTGAGGATGGGGGAGGGGGTGGGAACGATGCGCCGGGGCCTCAGCATCCGCCAGCCTAGGGCGAGGAGGGCGCAGGGGAGCATCCTCCTGGCAGTCCCCGCCTCCGCCAAGCCACGGTGCTGCCCCGGGGCCCCAGACTTCCCGTCCGAACGTGCCCGAAGGACACTTGCCCTCGCCGACAGGGCGTTAGACGCCCTCGGGCCTGATGTCAACCCATGCCCACGAGAGCCACCTGAGACAAGACCTTTGTTATCCCCATTTTACAGACGAGGAGACCCCCGCCAGACGGAAGGCCGCTGGGACGAGCGCTTGTAGGGGAGCTGGCCTCCCTCCCCGGACGCCTCGCTCCGGCCCCCGAGAGCCGGACGCCCGGCGTCCCTGGTCCCCGCGCGCGCCCCGGCGGGACCCTCCCGCTTCCTTACCCCCAGCGCATCCAGCCAGGAAGTCGAGCGCCATTGCCGGGGCCCCGGAGAGGCCGCTCCTCCTCCTCGTCCTTCTCGCTCTCCGGTCCCTCGCTGGGCTGGTCGCCGTCGGGGGCCCCCCCGGCTCGCTGGGCTGGTACTCAGCCTGGCCGCCGCCTCCTGGCG